CATTCCACTTTGTTTCTCCTGATTATGCAATCAAGGTATTGCGTGACTCACTGCGTGTACTGCGCATTTGAAATAACACCTTTCATTTCTCTTCAGTTCAGCCATTGTTCGCAAAGGTCAAGAAATTTATTTAAAAAATCTATTATAAAAGTTTTATTTTCAGTACACGCCGCCACTGTTGTTTAAACTCTTTATCTTTTCAATACTAATAACCTTGGAACTGACACAAGATTCATCTTTCTCTTCAAATCTGACGCTTCTGCTTCTAGCTTAATAGATAATAGCTTCTGTGCCGGAAGCCGAAATCTGAAATTTGACTAGATGAAAGAATCTTGCGTCATGTTTAACGCCATTCGTATTGAAAAAATGAAGAGTTTGTGAGAAAGTTTCAAATTATGACGCACAAACTGTAGATCCAGTCTTTCTCACCGTTGCTCATTTTTATGTTTTTTATCATTGCCAATAACAATTTATATTAAAAATTAACTTGATATCTCGCTGTTAAAAGTAGAGCTGTTTCCTGCAGTTCCATTAGCTGAAATTGAATTTTTCTTAAATTAAACAGTAAATAATTACCCTCTTCATCTTTGGGAACGATGGCGCAGGTTTTTTTGAATGATTTCGCATAAAAGGTCTGTCACTTGAGGTTCATTCGATAAATGGCTTGAATTTCTACCTGGATGACCCCCTGATCAAAGGTTAGCCTTATAAAATGATGAAAAATGCCAACTGCAATGCGGGCTCTGTCACGTAAGGCTTAGCTGTGCTCAGTCTCGCAGCAAGTCATGGGTAACGCTTAGCATCGTAAGACATGGCAAAATCTACGTACTCAGATTTAAACCACTTGCCACCCGTAACTTCTGTAATAAGGAGTCAAGACCACAACAGAAGGTTTGATGCCACAGGGTAGCCTGACACAGTGTATCACAGAGGACGATGGTCAGTGATCCGACTACTAAGAGATTATCTTAATATGATATGGTCGTAAGTGCCCTCGATCACAATCAGCCGTATAGTGCAAGCGGCTTCACAGAATCTTTCAACAACACTATTATGTTCCATGCACTAATGAAGTAGAATATGCAGAGGCACGCCGCGAACCATACCCATTGCGGTTGCGGTCCTATCGCTGAAAATACTTTTTGGTGAATGCTGAAATCACAGCATGGAGAATGCGGATCATGACTTCTCAAGTTTGGGCTTAGTAAGGAAGGCTGTCTTCAAGCTACACTACTGCTGCTTTCTTGTTGTGCAGCTATACTTCAATGATTAAAGTTTCAGAAACAAATTTCTAAAATGACCGTTGCTGAGTGGTTTACAATATGGTATTACAAAAATGCAGCATTTTGATTTGCGTCTCAACAATCATCTCATATGATATAGCTATTCATAGACAGAATTGAATTTCAAGGTGCTTATGAGATGGCACGACTGCCCTGTCTCGACAGAGATTGAATTTTGTGTTTGCTAGCGCTCATGAGAAATGGTTTCAAGTAAGCACCAGTCACGTCATCAGCGCATGGCAAAATAGTAAAGCCATAGGATGAAGCCATGCATTATACGTCTAGGATAACACTGATCTTAAAAAACAGGGCTCGTTTCTCATGTCTTTTTAAACCCAAAAAATTTTATTCCAGTAAGAGCGAACATGAGGGAGATATTGGATCGATGCCCAAGTCCAACAATGTAAGAAACAACCGTCAGACAGTTGAATCATAAGGAGGAGGGAAAAGACGGAAAAATAATATGGCAAGGCTGAGGAAATAGTCATTCAAAAATTTGCGCAACGAAAGTAGTGGTACTCTATGGTTTGTCGAAAAAGTACTCCATAAAAATAGTCGCGGCCTCGGTTTGATTGATACGCTTGTTCAAACGACTGCTGACGGGCCTCTTCAAAATGCATGTACAGGGAACAAGCGACTCACAGGAAACGACGTGCGTCTTTGCCACTGCGGAACTTAACTTATGACAGCCACTTAAACGAACATGTCAACAAGAGAATGATCAAAAATCAGTGGAAATTTATCGTCTGCAAACACGCCGAGAAACAGATTTATGTCACTCAGCATCTGACTACGACCGCAACCAGTTTCCGTAGGTAGAGTACCGCGGAAAAAATGGAAAAAACCACCAATTGGAAGCGATCTGCCGTAGGGGCTGGCGTTTTTTAACTTTGGAACGTCGCTGGTTTCTTGGAAGGTTGGTCGCCCGACGACCTTCCGCTGCATGGTTTCTACTTCACACCC